AAGAAAAAGAACTATGAGTAAAAAAAAACTGTCCCTATAAGGCCGGTTTCACTTGAAAAGTTCAACACCGCCTTCTGTGCTGAGGAGGTTCTCGGCCAGTGTTTCAGCTAGAACACTGTGTTTCGACAAGGCGAACAAAGTCTTGTAGCTGTGTTCGTTCTGTAGAATGGTATGGCTGTAGACTGGACGCCATTATGTACAGATGAGGCGCCGTCATTTAACGGCTCGTTACCGAATATACCACGGTGGTACCGTTTTCACTGATACTACATGCTGTGCTGTTTCTCAATTGCACGGCGTCTTATATCAGCAACCAACTGCTCATCAGACACATAAACCTGCACTGTTTAAAAAAAGTTAGTAGAAACGATAGCAACTGCGGGCGAATAGGTAGTAACTGCAGCGGTTGCTACCTTTCTTGGACCGTCACTACCATTTTGCTACATGTTTATTACCCTACCTTAGTAAACGGTTAGTAACTGTAATGAAAGAGGTAGAAACTGCAGTCGTTACTACCTTTCTTGCCCCTTTACTACTTCTTGCTACCCAGATGTTGACTATCTAGTCAAAAATAGTGTGTGCTTACGATTCTTATAAATTATGAGAGGACTCTTCTCGACGTATTATCATTAAAGAAAAAAATGACGGAGAAAATATCCATAGATCAAGAAAGTACATTTTGTTTTCAATTACGCAACTGACATATGTAAACGTCATTCTGATATTGTCGAAACGGGGAAGTACAAGGTAACGAACCATAAGCAAGTGCTACACGCGTTTTAATAGACAATTACAATATATTTAGTTAATTACATCACATAATAACAGGATGGGCTGATTAAAATAACCACATGGGCACAATTAGCCTTGAGGACAGTCACAGTTAATCCACTGCGGCGTGTCTCCGAGCATTATTATTGTTTTGGCGCGTCAAACCACAAAAACGATTATTACCTTTTCAACGCTTATATATATCAGCCGTGTCAAACATTCAAATGCACTGAGAATGAGTTAGGTACCTTGCTTCGGCCACTGTACTAATGGCTTTTTGTGACCCTTCTATAATAAATAACTACGACATATTTTTTTTGTGAAAAAGGTTGATTAAATTTTTGCGCTACGTCCCCAAACACACGTAATTAAGTAGTATAATTTAATGCTATAGGTTCAAATTTATCATAATTCATCCTGAAACACAAGTGCTCCCCTGTGCCAGATATGCTCCTGAAAAGTATGGGCTATATATACCCCACGCTTACTTCATACTACGTGTATGCGTAAGAAAATAGTGAACTTGTTGGGTCTATGTATTCTTCGCGTTCATGGCGCACCACGCTTCATTACCCAAAGTTGTCTAATAATGAGATATTGATTGACCAACATTAGCCGTTTAAAGCTAATATGCCGAAATTAATGAACAAGGAAGTATCGGTTACAACTTTTTTTCTTGAAACATTTAAAAGTTACTACCCATGGGTGCATGGGTGGTACCGGCTAGGGTAGTAACAGTTACTAAATACTGGTAGTAACAGCAAAAATAGTAACTGTTACCACCCTCGCCGTTACTAACTGCGCTTACTACCAGGGTTGTAACATATGGGACAAACCGTTACTACCCCAAAGTTAGCAAGTACAACAACATTTTTTCCATGAGTGTATAGCGACATAAACATTGAAAAGTCTCGGAGTCAGGAGATGAACCATTTGTGTGAAGGTTGTTGAACGGCGAACTCTAGTGCACCATAGCCCCGTCGCGGTGGTCTAGTGGCTAAGGTACTCGGCTGCTGACCCGCAGGTCGCGGGATCAAATCCCGGCTGCGGCGGCTGCATTTCCGATGGAGGCGGAAATGTTGTAGACCCGTGTGCTCAGATTTGGGTGCACGTTAAAGAACCCCAGGTGGTCAAAATTTCCGGAGCCCTCTACTACGGCGTCTCTCATAATCATATGGTGGTTTTGGGACGTTAAACCCAAAACCACCATATGATTCACTAGATTAAATTTATCATTTATGGTGCACTAGATTAAATCTATCTAGTGCACCATAAATGGTGGCGAGTTCCGCAGTCGTTGATGATGTCATATGCGATGTCTTGAATTTTATATGGAAGAACAACGCGGGAATAAACCCTTCACTTGCCGAGCATGCAGAATAAACACAACTATCTGTCGAAATGCGATGACGTCCACTGGGTTTCTTGAGCGGAAGCAGTAGGGCTTGGCTGTTTCTTCTTTTAGATTTGATTTCAGAAAATTTACGAGTGCTAGTATGCATCAGAATGGTAACGGCTGTATGCGTGAAGCTCAAGCGCATGCACTATGCTATGCGAAGTGGCAGCAGCACTGAACACAGACTGTGGCGTGTAGGAAGTGAGGCGAGGTGGTGCGATGGAATCCGGGCGAGATGTCTAATGTGCATTTCACAAAACATCGACACGAATGTGCGTTTTCAGAGAAGTCAATAAAATATACAGACCCCACGTGCACAGTAGTTTCTACTCTCTCTACGCGTTTTGCTTTCTATACTCAGGAGACTAAATTCAATATTTTACATATCGACACCGTAAAAGCCAGAACTAAACTTGTGAATTGTGTAATGTGATACCGGGGCCCCGCAGGGCGCTTTCGTTTAAGCTGACCTTACAACAATGACGTTAGGAGGATTCACTTAAAGTTATGTATTGAAGTACGGAGAAGGCTCTGACTATTTCTGCCTTTTGAATAACCCCAGTGTATTGTAACTGTATATAAAATTCGTTCAGGATATGACACCAAGTCGGCTAGTGTAAACGCTCTATTAAGCGAGGGTAGCGATAAAAACAACCTTGGTGGAGCGCGAGACCGACACAAGGACGCGAGAAAATAAAAAAAAAAGAATACAGGAAGGGGCTTGTGCTGAAAAAGCTTCGACAAGTGAACTCTTTAAGACTAGAGCTTCATGAACCAAGCTTTTAAGAGGAGCAGATTGAGTTCTTCTTGAAACATCGGCTCGAGCCCACGCACACACACGCGCACATACGCACGCACGCACCTGTTTGTGCGTTTTTCCACGGATGCAAGAAGGCAAGGAAGGACACCATACAGCGTTTAAGTGCGTTCTCATGTACGTGTGTCCTTTCACCCTACAGGTGATTCACCAACAAGCTTTGTCATTGTCCACACCGCAACCCTTGCCTGTGTGTAAACCTGTTGGTCATTCAGGGACGATGCGTGTCTACTTGTGCTTTATTTTAGATGTCTCTGTGTTGAGTTTCATTTCACCCAATTCAATATTCGTACGCTTATATGGCATTACTTTCAAAATTTATTGCGAAATATCATATCTGACAAGCTTCATGAAGATGTAATTGTATCAATTAAATAACAAAATAAGTATATATCTTAGCGGTTGTACTTATTGGCTATCGCAGTTTCGCCCGACGTCAGCTTCCGCTGTGCAGGGACGGCTTCAGCATTAATTAAAATTTTATCACAGCTGCGTCAGACACAGCTACATATAGCGTACGCAGCTGTTTAGGCTGGCGAACAGCATATACGTACGTAGTTCTGAAAGTAAATATGTCGAATTTCCTCGCTTAAATTGCCCTAATTGATTGCTGTCCTTTTTTAATAAACAGTCCCGTTCGTTTAGTAAGCCTGCCTCAATTACACTTTTTTTCGCACAATAAGTCATCTCGCAGATTTTGGGCCCGTTTTTCTACTACTACTGATTACTTTCTACAACTGCAACAACAACTACTACTACTGCTATAGCTGTCACACAAATGATTGTGACGATGATAGTGACAGTGAATTATGCTACGCGAAATTACTCTGGCCGTTATTAGGGTGTCAGGGACGTGTCACGAAGAAATGACAGTATCGATAGTCGAAAATGTGGTCTGAAAACAATGCGCGGTGCACAGAAGGCTCGGTGCGTGATTTGCAGAGGATCAACAGGGAAGCGGAGGCACCGGGCTTTTGTGGGAAGCGAGGTTTGCAATGACCTTCAAATTGTCGCACGCAACGTGTGAGCCACTGGTAGCGTGCGTAGACAGCTGCCACTTCGTCAGTGCCTCTAGAGCCGCGATAAACACTCGGGGATCGCGCATGTAAAAAACCACGCGCAGTCATAACTTCTTCCCTAGAAATGCACATTGCGCACAACTATATTGGACGCCTCCCCTAGGTTCGGCGGCGAGTGTCCGCCGCATGGTAGGCGCGCCGGAAACGAACGCCGACGGCCGAGGAGCGCGAGGGAGAGCAAACACATAGATAGCGGCCTCATGCCGGCTGATATTCACCCGCGAGCGCAACTGACGCATCCGTGCGCAGGGTCCGGGCTGCCGGCTCTATCGCGCGGCCGTTCGGTGGATGCTCAACTCCTCGGGCACAGCCAGAGAATCGAAGGCCCCGAGAACTCGGCTGGCGCGGGCCTGCTAGACGGGGGAGGCAGAAGCACTCGCCCAAGCGGAGAAACGCTAAACCGACCCGAACGAAGGGCAGCGAACGGGCTTTTAATATGCGAGCTCTTCGCGGCGAAAAGCAGCCCCACCGAAGGTATACTGCGGAGCGAGATCGATTGCAGATCGAGACAATTTGCTGCAGGAGTCTGCAGCCGAATGTCTTCCGTGTAAAGAAAAAAAAGCGGAAGACGTAAAAGGAAATAAGAACCAGAGAGATGAACAACAGTGGCAACGAGAGACAGCCGATGACGTGCAAGAGGCCTCATCTGACTTTCGGCGTTCGCACTTCCCTCTGTTGGCAGTACTCCGCCAGTCGGTTCACCGAAATGTTTTGCTTAATATGCGGCTATTTATCTTTGAGCAGACACGGCTAGGCACGGAACCGGAAGAAAAACGACGCTTGACGTTGGAGCAAGCCGCAGGAGGGCGGCGTAGACAGGACGCGGTCATTGACGCGGAAGGCACCATTGATCTCGCGTCAACCCCCTCCCCCTTTTCCCCGTTGTCAACTGCGCCGCGTACATGTAGACAGAAGGGCGGTGGAAAGGTGGGTCGATGGGGGCTCTAACCCCACAGGCAAACAGCCTGGGCCAAGAGCCTGGGCCTTTGATTTTCCATGCACTTCCGGAAGCGGCGTCTTTTCTATAATTTTTCGTCTTGGACCGCACAATATACGGCACTGCGTGAACAAGCCACACCAGGTTTTGTCGACCAACAAGTAATTGGAAACGAACCGGTGAGTACGCTTGCAGCTATAGTTGATATGAGCGAAATGCGAAGCAACAATAGCGCTGGCAGTGATTAAATGGGGTGAATCTCGACCAGTTTTGATTAGAAGCGGCGCGTTCGCTCAGACGAACATGGCAGACAAGTTAACCAGACGAGGTGAAGTGTTTAGCTACTTTGGGATCCACCCAATCTCGCGACTAAGCGTAACAGCAAAATAGTAACGAATGATGAAAGGGCGTATTCTAGAGCACTGCAAACGCCTCTTTCCCGCGCGCGCGCGCCATATTGGTGTAATTCTACAAAAATCTAGTTTTTTTATCTGGCTGTAGAATTTTCTCTGGACTCGAGCAACAGGTTTGTTAAGCAGAGAATGAGGGGCATTTAATTGATGCAAGGAAGGGCATGACAGAGGTAAGTATATTGGCCGCGCCACTCAAAGCTCTTAATTCCTACATGCTTGTTACCAAGAGGTAACCACGAACCACGTAGTGACAGAACCTATTATGCACCAGGGCATGTTAAGTATGTTTTGTGCCTGTAGGCTCGGCGTGACTCGGCGCTGAAATAGAATGCAAACTATAACCAGAGCTCAAAGCTGCTGCCATTTACGTGGGCTTCCATTCAAGCTGTCTAACGCTAGGCCAGGCACCAACTCGCAGCAACACACAGCGTTACTGCTCTGAAAAGGAAGAAGAGTGTACAGAGATGTGGAGTTTAGAGCAATAGGTAAATCGAAACGTTAACATAATTCCTTTACTGATACTCGGTATAACCTCTAACGAGAACAACTTCTCTAAGTGCAATGAACGTGCCAGTTCGGTAATGGCACTTGTCAGTATACTTGTTGCTGGGCTAGAGGCTTCTTACCGTTAAGCTTGAAAGGACGCATAACACTACGAAGCTCTCTGGAATCCTGTTCTATACTTTATGTGTTTCTTGCCTATTGAAACCGAGCTAGTTTTTATAATTTAGAGTGGTCGTTTTTGCAAATATACACAGAGATTTTTTTAACCACACAAGATAGATGTGCGATTGTTTTTTAATAAAATTATCATAGACTGCTGGTGTTAGGAAGCAGGTATTGTTTTGATATTATGAAGAATGTAAATGCTTGATTAGCGCAGTTATGTAGCTACTGAAAATGCAGTGTCTTTAGGTACTGACGATGTGATCTCGTAAGCGCGTTAAAATTGCATAAAATGCCTTTTTCACAGCTTCTATAGCACGAAAGTTTCTCTTTTTTTTATTTTCCTGGGAAACAAGAACTGAGTGTTTAAGGTGCCCAGAAAATCACACGTGCAATAGTCACATAACAGCGACAACTGAACAGACTAATTATTGTACATGAACAATTAGTGAGAAAACTGCAGCACAAAAGCACGCTTCCTAGCGTACTTTTTCTACAACCTTTTTCTATAACCAGGTTTGTAAAACAACGCACACCTACCGTGGAAGCTCCAGGTCTGGCTGGACTCGCTGTCTTCGCAGAAACAGCGTTATAACGACGCCGTAATATTTAATGATATGGCAGTGTAGATTAGTGAAAGGTGATGGTGACGCAGAGATCATGATCTCTGAGTCACCAGTAGAAGCAGAATGGTTGCTTAAGATTACGTTAGGCGATATTCTCAAGTGCATAGAATATTTAGATGCAAGGAGGCAACATCAAAGTTGAATGAACGTCGTTATTGGCCAATGCAACAAAACCCGACTTTCTGCTGTGTGTCAATGCGCGCGCGCGCGCGCGCGCGTGTGTGTGTGTGTGTGTGTATGTGTGTGTGTGTCGTGTGTGTGTGTGTGCGTGTGTGTGCGTGCGTGCGTGCGTGTGTGTGTGTGTGTGTGTGTGTGTGTGTGTGTGTGTGTGTGTGTGTGTGTGTGTGTGTGTGTGTGTGTGTGTGTGTTTTACTGCGAAAGCTGTCATGAGATCCCTCCGATAGACCTATTCTATGTTTGCGAACTGCGGTACGTGCCGTCGTCATACTGAGTCGAATATCTCCACCCAGCCCAAAGTTCACCACCACCCTCAATGATCGCGTGACAACTGGCACGGCAGCTGCAAATCTTCCTCGGATAGAGTGTACTGGAGCTGAAGAAAAATGTGACTGTGCCTCACCGCTTGATGTTTCCCGCTTTGCCCGTAGAGGCGGCGCTGAAGCGATTAGTACTGAAAGCGCCGCGCTTCACGCGCAAAAACTGCTATGTGCTTTGGCTTCTCGGGTGCGCTTTTTTGAATTCGGCTTTCTATATGTGCATTACAGTGTATTGCTACAGTGTATTCACATCTCGCACATGCTGTCGTAACCCTCGAGAGATGACACGCCAAAGTACTGAATTTTAGCTTAATAGGCCCCTGTGAGAGACAAAACACTTATTTTTTCTTGACGTCAAACCGTTAAAATCGTTTCGATAGGTATGAAAACTGTGAGGAAAAAATACCTTATCGGCGCAGTGAAGCTTTATAGTCTCGGCATTATTACACACGTTACCTGAAGCTAGATGTGCTCCACAGCACCTTTGTACTGTGAACATCGGCAGAAGTGCGTGGTCTATACAGCTGGTATCACGTTAAGGAGAGCTTCATTCGGAGATTCTATCAATCATAATATTTGGGAATTGAAATACCTTGCCAAAAGCGCACCGAACCGTGAGCCCATAAATACAGAGGGGAGAGAGAAGGAATCGAAATTTAAAAAAAAATACACGAAAGATTCTCTGCGCTGCTCGTTGGCGAAGCTAAGTATAGCGTGTCTCTACACAAATGCGCATTATATGACAGTATGAGGTCTGAAAAATATTTCAGGTCTGACGTAGCTGCATGACACATGCACGACGTACGTGATCACGTGCGAATAGCAGCCGTTCTAAGGGCGCATTTCACGAATGTTGGTAATGGGCAGGGCAGGGACGTGTGACTTTTAACTGCATGTAATTGTGGATATATTGCCCCGTTCCTTTCCTCAAGTCTTGTTATCACCCCATTACACTACGTTCAGCGCAAACCGCGCCTACGATGTTCGAAAATCTTTGAGGCTTTAGTAGATCGTTTCGTTAAGATTACGCCCACTTAAGAAACGTCACAGATTATTTGGGAACCTACACTGCCGCTAGCGATAACGCTAGAACATTCGATGGCAAGGGTATAAATGCCAGCACGCTTCACCGCTTGTCAGTTGATCGACGGCTGATGCTCTGCCCGCCGCAATCAAAGTGCCAGTGTCTTGCTGTAATCTGACATTTCTTTTACGTGATCACAAGTTCGGCCAATTAAATAAACAATTTTAATTTGGGCAAGTCATATCTGCATGTGTCTTTGTCATGACATCGTGACATGTCGTGTTGGGGCTTCCCGGCCAATGTACTAAACGCCTCCCTCCAGCCGTGAGCCAAGCCCACACAGTGAAGAGGACACTGAAGCCAACCTCGATCAGTGAGCTAGCCGCAAGCAGCGAGGGCTACATCTTGAGTACGCGGCTCTATACCTGATAACATTCGGAAGCACAAGACCACCACTACTACAGCGACCACTTTTAATGCCCCTGTGCCTATGCCCGCAATGGTCGTAATGCATCAGCTGAGAGAGCCACCAGCCTTTCACGGATCATCATGTGAAGAAGCGGAGACCTGACTGGAGTCATATAACCAAGTGTCTGCCTTACACAGTAGAGCTTTCAAGAAAAGCTGCGCCGCGTCTACTTTTACCTGGAAGACGCGACGAGGACCTGGTTCGAGAACCATGAGTCATCACTTCAAACCTACGATCTGTTCCGCAGTGCATTCCTGAAAACGTTCACGAGAGTCACCCGAAAAGACTGCTGCTGTGCTGGAAAGACGGGCACAGCTTCCAAACTAAGTTCGCAGAAGGAATTATTCACCTCTCCCGACTGACCAACCCTGACATGGCCGAGGATATAAAGTTCCGTTTGCTCATGCGAAGGGTAAAGCAAGACCTGTTCGCTAGGCTGGTGCGGAACCCACCCAAATCAGTTCGAGAGTTTGTCTCGGAAGATACCACCATTTAGAAGACTGTAGAGATGCGTACCCTGCAGTACGAACGCCGATTCATGCAAGCCGGCGCAGCTGTTCACGCCCTTGGTTCCGACGACATACGTGAAATGATCCGACAGATCGTGCGGAAGGAGCTATGGAAGCTGCTGCCTTCATCGCAGCCCCAAGTGTACTCAATCGCCGACATTGTCCGCGAAGAAGTTCAGCAGTCACTTGGAGTTTAAAAAGCACCGCAACCTTAGCCGCAAGCAATAAGCTATGCTGCTGCTGCCCGACGCTACGTCCCCCCTCCACGCCCACACCAAGACGCCACTCCGCCGAACTTCTGGCGCCAGACGCCGCCATTGCCACCACCACCACCAGCGCCCTACCTGTGTCCTCTCGGCCAGCGCCTCAAAGCCAGGAAAACAGACGTTTGGCACGCACCTAACAACGGCCTGCTATGATACCACTGAGGGGAGGCCGGCCACACCTACCGACGCTGGCAGTACCGACAGACCGGCGCTCCGGGGATTCGCCGTCAACGTGCCACGTTTGCATCTGGGTGAAAAGCCTCGCGACATCGCTGATTACAACACGGGAATACGGTGACAAGACCGACAACCACACCGTGCCCCGTCGCCCGGCTGCTACAACTCACCGCACCGCCGGCCCTATACTGAACCAGTCCGTGGCTGGTCACCTGGCCTGCATCCTTCGGAAAACTAAGGGCAGCAACCGATGGAGGGGCGGTTGCTGTATAACGATATACCGAAGACCCTCCACCACCGACTACGACGCCACGACGAAACCTTCAGAAGACGGTAGCATCCCAACCTAGTTGTGACATCAGAACCTTACGTACCGAAGACGACCTAATGACGCAACACGGAAGCACCGGAACAAGACGACCAGACGCCACGACCCAACTGCAACGCAAGACGACAAACTAGTAACCTCGACGTTCTTATCGACGGCCACAATGTGACAGCTCTCGTCGACACCGGAGCTGAATATTCCGTC